TTTATGCGTCAGTATTCTGATATTTTTCAGCGTCTACCTACTCATTCTAAATGAATAAGCAAATAAAACAAAACCTATTTACTAAGAAAAGTGTCGTATAGGCACCTGTGAAATTTAATTATATTTGTTTAAATCATAAAATATTGCTCGTATATTTTTGTGAAGTTAATTTTTTTGTGTGATGGCTAGATAGATTGGTTTAACTTATCTATTGTTATAATATATATTTTTTATCTTTATCCTAAAGGATTTGATGGTGTGTGTGTGAATGAAAATATTTGATCCATCGTTTATTGTAACGTATGTTCTTATTAAAATATACTAGTCTACAAATACAAACATATTTTTAAATTTGAATATTTTCTTCTGTTTTATACTGCTAAAGGAAATTTCATCAGCATGTCATCTATTGCTTATATGGATGCTAATAAAGATTGTTAATTAAATAGATGTCATTATTTTGAATTCCGCTATAAAAAAATTATAATGATCTATTCTTTAATATAAAAATAAAGCCTTTCATTGATAATTATCAGTCATAGGCATCCCCTTCAAATAGAAAACTAAAACTAAAAAACATTATTTGAATAATCTGATACAAATTTTCTTATTTGCCTGCAACTAAATCATATTTTGATTACATTTAAAGTAGAATAATCATTAAATTAGCTACATTCGCTACTTGTCCTGTTGTTGTATTCATCTATATATTACTTCATCTTTTCATCATTTATTAATTGTTAATACTAAATGGATACATTTCATCATTTTTTTGAATAAATCAATAGGACTGAAATTCAGATTTTGTGTTCTAAATTTTAATGTTTGATTGTTAGCCTAAGCGTAATTCGAAAATATTAATAGTCGGAAGTAGCTTTTATATGATTCGAAATAATTTCATTTAATATTTATTTTAAAATCTTTCCTCACTTGTACCTCAATATATTCGTAACTCTTTGTTGTTTTTAAATATAATTAAATATTAGTGTAACAGTCTAGTATTATTATTTTATGCATTGTATTTACGACTAAAAGTAATTTTTGATTGTACTTCTACTTTTCTTTCAATGATAATAATATAGATTAAATCATATAGAATTAATAGATCGTATAAATTTATAATTTCTTATCTCGACCATATAAATGAACAGAATTCTTCATATTGATATTATTCATAGGTTTAGACTGTGAAAATCTTTACATGTATGCAATAAGTGCTTTCAAAGATTACGTTTATGTGTAAAATAAAGAACTATCATTGTAACGAAACTATTCTGATTAAAAAAAACGATATATATCTTTATATGGACGTTATAAGGAATTAGGATTAAATACAATCTATAAAACTTTTTATTTGATAGATAAACTCGAGTTCGACTTGATCAAATTCATTGTAATTAATTTGAAGTTATTTTTATTCGTTTGAATTTTAAAAATGATAAATGGAAGTTCAAAAAAAAATTTCAGAGGATATTAAAAAGATAAAAAGTATTACATGATTTTATTGTAATTTTCACAGTATTTTATGACAAAATGTTTATTGTTGCTGGATTAATTTATTTTGAATTAGCTTGTATGCTTTTATAAATTATAATTGGTGCAACTACCTGGTGGTCGTCTATCATAATACCATTGGCAAACATCTCTTGGCATGGATGGATCTTTACAACAGTTGTCCCATGGTATAACATCATGTTTGTTATGTGCATTCCATTGAATTAAATTCAATATATTGTCTGGTGCTCGTTCACGATCTAATGTACCAGCACCTGCATGTGGATCACTCATCCAATTACCTGATCTATCATAACAACATTGAGCACCGGGTCCTTTGCTTTTATAAGCATGACGATAACATCCCCATGCACCTTTATGATAATTACATGTATTTGGTTGGCTACTTGCCCCACAGCCTGCATCTGTTTTCCATACTGCACCACCATCACTAAATTCTTTTGGAAAGCCTGTTGATATACGACATGGACAGTTTCGTGTTTGTTCCAAGAATGGTAATGGATGTGGTTCAGCTTTATACCATTTTTCGCATGCAGCTGTATTTCGGGCTATGGCTTGTGCTCGAGCAGCATCCTCGGGAACAGCATTAGCATTAAGACAGGCGACTGCAACTGTCAGAAGAAGAAGATGAAGCATTTGCATGTTTGAATATCAGTTCACAAAATACTGTGTTTTTGTCATTACTGACAACATTATATACTCCGATGGAAAAAATTTACGAGTTTATTGTCATTGAAAAGTGGTATGCATATACTTTATCATTTATTACTTTCAATTGATTATATTGACTATAAGCAGTATTATTATCGCAAATTCATTTCTTATATTTTTACGTTTATGAGATTGTTGTTAAAGCTGTAAATGCGACCTATGGATGTTTTCGTGGGAGTCATAAATTGATTGTATTTTATTTTTTCAAACGTATAATTCGCCTTACGAAAAACATATTATGATTAATCTAAAATATACAATCATTGTTTGAATGGATATAATACATAATTCAAAGTTTAGAAATAAATGTAGAAGTATTTTGAATGAGTAATATAAAAAAAATATGCTGTTTTTTGAAATTATTTATTAACAAACTTAGTATACAATAAAACTAGATTTTCTTGTGTAATATGCAATCTATCTGAATATTTTTCGTTTTCTAATTGTTATTGCTTTATTACTCTATATGATAACAATATTTTGTAAGTATGACAATAAATTGATTATATGCGCAATACTTAACATTGAGGACAAATGAAGAAGTATTAATTCTGACATTTTATCTAAAAAACTAGGGCAATCAAATTTTGTGTTTTTGACTTCAAAAGTTTTATAATTCGGATGAATAATGATAGATCACTAAAAGAAGTTGAAGCAATAAAAAACAACGACATATCTTCTATTACGTATTTATAAAGTTTTTTATTCGTTTTTTTTCTTCTAGAAGATTTATATCATATCCATAATTAGTCATGACAATTCTAATATAAAATTTTCTGAACAATGAATCAACAGTATTAGCAACTGTTTTATTTTGTATTATTATCTATATGGAGGAATCATATAATGATGAAATGATTCATTTTCATGTCATATTTTATTATCGTTTTCTCTTATCACAAAAGAAGAGTAATGAGATTATTTTCAGTAATAATAAAATAAAATGAATTGAAATTATAAAAGATAGTATCCATCTCGAGATCACAACTCAGGTCTTAGCATTGAGGATGACCTATCCTATATGCCTAGACAATACAGATGTAATACAATTTCGATGATATTACACTGAAATCGATGAATATAAAAGTTGTTGCTTTTTTTTAATACTATTTGTGTAAAAATTACTGCATGTTCACCGTTGTTTTTTAAATTAAATCAATAATAACAAAGATTGAATTATAATTCATTTCATTCGATATTCGTAATATTTTTATTTATTAACATAACTGATAAAGTATATGTCATATAGTATCGGTAATGTTTGTTGTAAATATATATTTAGTTAAGTTTATACTTCAAAATGATCTTGAAAAAATTTAGTATAAAAATTTATTTTCTATTTTTCGGAGATATTTTATTTATGTTTCTTACGGTTCATAGTATTATTCTTCTCTATTCCAATTATATTCACTGGTCAAATCAAATATTATGTTGATAGTCATGTATATCAAATACTACTTAATCTTTCATTCATCATTATTTTCTCCTTATTTGTTTTATGGAATTATTTCAGTTAATTATCAACATATAATTGTCGTATTACTTATATATTATGATTGCTTTATTTTATTTTATAGATTCAGTTGAAACATCTGTAATGCAAAGAAATCAAAACATAATAATATATATATGAAAACGTGGTATGCATAAAGATATTTTATTCGTTCTTTATTCATATCAATACTCTATCAAGTATGCCACGTGTGCAATTATAACTGAATATTGTATTGACATTCATATTTTCGTATTTATCAATTTTTTTTCTATATACAAAATTGTATCTTGATCCTTTTGTATTATTCTTTTTCAAATTGATCAATATATATGTGTGCATTGAATGAAAACAACTAATGAATAATTGTTTAAATAAACAAATGTAAATGTAACTTCAGTTAAGCATAACATTCATTTCAGAAAAAATTTCATCAGAAATTATCAAAATTTATTAGAATATACACAATGATGTTAAAAATTATAAAAAATTAAAAAGTATCATTGGTTTTAAATGAAGTACTAATAATGATGATTTTATTAATAATATCCTCCACCATAACCATATGGGTCACCATATCCATATTGACCACCAGCTCCACCTTGATTGTATGGATTTCCGAAGCCCCAAGTACCATATTGGTGATGATGCCATAATTCATAAGCACCTAAACCAACAGCACCAACTAATGCTGCATCCATAAACGGGTGATTAAGATGATGATGATGATGCATATTGTATATGTATTTATTTAATGTAATCGTCGAAAACAAGAATGTTATTGATGAGAAATCATACTCGCTATATATATAGATCGGTTCACTGTACATAAAAGAGAGGGGTAGTTGAATTATTCATGCATGAATTGTTTCAATATGACCCATTAATCCACGTCTTTCTGACTATTGCGTCAATAAAATATATGACTATGTCTTTATTTTTTTCATGACGTTAAAAATGACGCACAACCATGCTTGAATCAAGGACAAAAACCAGTTCACAAAAGAATATAGAATATATAGAGGTTATATTATAAACATCCCATTTAATAGTTTTATCATTCATCATCGGTTCAATCTAGTTCTAATACTTTAATGTGTGATATATGTGAACGTTCTTTAAAAAAATATCAGTTTCATTTATTCTTGTTGAAAAAACTAAAAAACTGGCATTTATACGATCCAAATAAAAAAAAGAAATAAAAATATGAATCGATTATATCTACACTAGCATCAAATAACTGAACAAATAAATTATATTCATTTATTGGTTGAATATCGTAGAAGCTAAAATAAAATCCAAGCATTTTTTGCTCAATTTATTCTTTGTGAATTACAACTTTATCGTGATGCATATTTGCTATGATTTCAATTAATCCTTCTCAATTATTTCTGTTTTATTGAAGAATTCCTGTTATGTTCACTTCATAATAACGAAAAGTATTACTAAATGTTGAAGCGTCAACCTTTTCGATTCAAATTATTTATACAAACAGCATAAGGGTGATCTCTACACTTTTGAAATCTTTTTACATTTGTTTTGTTTGTTACGCAATCTAAAATCTATTGCAAATCAACAAGATGGTTCTATTCTAGTTTTTAATTATAATTTTCAAAATTACTACTTGATAGTACTTGATGTATTATCATTTCTCGATTACTAATGAAGATTAATAATTGAATGTAATGATTCATTTTTCTTGAAGATAAATAAATACAAAAGATATACATGGCATCGACATATACCTTATATGCATTCTTGATAGCTGAAACAATATATTCGTAGATGTATTCTAACTATTCAAAAAAAATGGATTAGTAGGATGTTCTTGTGATTAATATTTTAGAACATGTTGTCCTCAAATAATATATATAAATATATTATAATAAGAAGATAAACTTAAGTGTAGATATACTGTTGTTTTTCACAACTATTAACAATTGATATAACTGACTAATTCTAAGATAATACTGATCAGATTCTCAAAGCATCTGATCGATAATTTTTAATAAATGAATCTTTTTTTAAATAAACTATATAACTCATATTGTAGCGATTAGTTATCGTAGAGTTATATTCTACATATCTATTCTAATCTTGTATGATGATATTTTCTCGAGATCAATAGTTAAAAGTTGACTAGTATATTTATCTATTTGTATCAAATAAGGCTCAGCCAGTAGGAATATCATATATTCCGTCAATGTATCGTAAAATTGTCGTCTCTCTATTTTGAACTGATTAATGTATGACTAGGATTAAAAATCGCATATATGCTTTAATAGAATTTTACTTTTATTATGCACATCAATTTAATTGCACACTATGAAATTTGAAAGGATAATGACCAATTTCAAGTATTAATAGAAAACATAAAACAACAACTAATCGTACAACGATTATTAACCTTTTGAAGAGAAAGTTAAACATGAAATGTACTTTAAATTCAATAAATTATATAAATATACAAGTTTATCTATTGTTATTCTGTTTCTTCTTACTTATAAGTTACCTCTTTTCAAAAATAGAAACGATCTTTATCAGAAACAGAAAAACACGTGTAAGACAATTAAATAACATGCATTTTTTTTCTCCTCTTTCTCCTTGTTATGTATGATTATATGTGAAATAAACTATTCGTTTATAATGCCGACCATTTCTTTATCAACTAACTCTTTTCTTCATTGTTATTAACAAAGATATACTTTCTTTTGAATCGTATATCAGGTATTTGTACATGAAACAAATAATCGAAGTAAGAGAATGACTATAAACGTGATAGAATGAAAACAAAAGAAAGAGGATGAAATAAGACAATATACTACGTTGTTGTCCATTATTTCTTTAACGTTATTATCATGTCTTTTTCTATATTCTACATCACGGGTAACTTAAAATATATGACAGAACTTTGTATTTCATATTTTAATTATCAAGAACATTTTGTTAAACCAAAATAAAATATACTAGAAGAAGCAGAGTGAAAAGCTCTATAATCTTCAATGTAAAGTTTATGTTGATTGCGTATTTTTTCTTTCAAATAAGCACTATTCTCAGCAAACAATTCTCGGTGCTGCGAAAAGTAGTTCAGACAATTTTGCTTTTTCTTAATAACAAAAACTGCATATATAATATAAACTAGTTTTTACAAATTATACACCTTTTTCACACTGCATCTTGACATGCATTTTTTTATTACATAAAATGTATCAGGTGATAAATAAGAAAAAAAGGGGTTTGTTGTATACGAAAACACCCCCTTTTTTCCAACATCGAAATTTCATCATTCAGAATTTTATCGATTTTCAAAATAAATAAATATAACCGTGAAATTATCTAACTTATGTAAATCATAGAGCTTTTCACGCTGCATCTTGTGACATATTTTGTTTTTGTAATAAAACATATTTAGAGATCAAAATATAAAATGCAAAGTTCGCTTATTTATTATGGGTCATTCATTAGTAGATTTTGCATATAATCCTAAATATGTCTATGCATTATAACAGAATACTGACACTCAAACTGAGGCTTTTAAAAGGGTCGGACAAAAAAACTTTTGTAGTGCCCCATGTATTTAAATCAAAAATATATTAAATATCATATATTCATCATCACAATGATGCAATATTCAGAAAATGTAATGACTTAAACAAAGAAATCAAAACATAATAATATATATATGAAAACGTGGTATTCATAAAGGTATTTTATTTGTTCTTTATTCATACCAATACTCTATCAAGTATGCCACGTGTGCAATTATGACTGAATATTGTATTGACATTCATATTTTCGTATTTATCAATTTTTTTTCTATATACCAAATTGTATCTTGATCCTTTTGTATTATTCTTTTTCAAACTGATCAATATATATGTGTACATTGAATCAAAACAACTAATGAATAATCGTTTAAATAAAGAGGCATAGATATAACTTCAATTAAACATAATATTCATTTCAAAAAAAAAAGTTATGCTTTATTTGTTTTTAACGATTACCGAAAACTTCAGAAAGATTTTTATGAGAGATTATCAAGATTTATTATCATATAAACAATGATGTTAAAAATTATAATAAAACTTTAGAAGAAATATCACTGATTTTAACAGATGCACTAATAATGGCGATTATATCAATAATATCCTCCACCATAGCCATACTGGCTACCATATCCGCCTTGACCACCACCTCCTTGATGTTTATTTGGATTTCCAAAGCCCCAGGTACCATAATGATGGTGATGCCATAATTCATAAGCACCTAAACCAACAGCACCAACTAATGCTGCATCCATGAATGGATGATTAAGATGATGAGGCATCTTGTATTGATATTTCTTCGATATAATCGTCGAAAACAAGAATGTTATTTGTGAAGAACCATACTCGTCATATATATAGGTCCGGTTACTGTACAAAAAAGAAAGACGTAATTAAGTTCAGTCATGCATGAATTGTTTCAGCATGACCTATTGATCCCCGCCTCTCTGTGTATTTCCTCAATAAAATATTATATGAGTAATCATTTATTTTTTTCATGACATTCGGAGTGACGTACGAACATACGTCAATCAAGAACGAAAGCGCGTACTTGCACAAGAATATAGAATGTAGAGGTTACCATAAACATCAAGCTTAGTATTTTTATTATTCATCATCGATTCAATCTGCTTGTAATACTTTGATGTGTAATATATATGAACTTACTTTAAAAAAATGACTAAAAATATAAATTTATCAATGTTTCGTAACAAGGAGCGTTACTTCTTAGTTTTGAAAATAAAAGAAAATTTGAAGTTTTGTTATTCATAAAAAATTCTTAGAAAATTTTACTATGTTTTCAAATATCAACAGAAAAGATAAAACAATAACTAATTGTAAAACTATAACTAAAGAAAAAATGGAAGAATATTGATACTATTTTTCCATTACATTACGGTAACATGTGTCATTATAAATGCAAAGTTTTCTACGTGACCACCTACATTTCTCATGTACATACATATTAAAAGTAATCATACAATCTTTTTTTTCATAAATATCAACCATATAATCAATGTACTCTGTCGAATAGATAATCCGAAACGAACAGTAATTCGATGTTTGCATCTTTAAATATTCTTTATCTGATAAAATCGATGTTCATACGTAACATTTCGTCGACATATGTAAATGTTTGAAGATCTTCCATATTATTAGACTATTGATAAAGAATACTATATAATAATTATCAAAAAGTAAAAAAAATGGTTTTATTTTCAATAGAAATACTTCCTAAGAAAACGACAATTCTCTCTTTCACCAATTTATAGTAAAAATAAAATAATTATTTATTAGAGAAAATTCATTTGTTCGTTTCTATTAATCTTTCAAAGGAAAAGTTAAATATGAAATGTACTTTAAATACAATAGATCATAGTTATACCAGTTTATCTATTGTTTTTCTATTTCATGGTACGTTATCTCTTTTCAAAAATAGAAACGATCTTTATCAGAAACAGAAGTGCACGTGTTAGACGGTTAAATAACACGAATTTTTTTCTCCTCTTTCTCCTTGTTATGTATGACTACATGTGAAATAAACTATTCGTTTATAATGCCGCCCATTTCTTTATCAACTAACTCTTGTATATATTCCTTGTTATTGTCAAAGATATGCTTTTTTCTGTCTATGTAATTTTGAGTATGAACAATTTAATAGTTTAAGTTTTAACTGTTATCATTCTTCCTATTCTTTTCAATTGTATATCAGCTCTTTATACATGAAACATATAAGCAAAGGAACACAATGACCATAAACGTGATAGAATGGAAACAGAAAAAAAATAGGATGAGATAAGACAATATACTTATGGTGAAAAAAAGCGTGACTTCTGACATAATATCAACTATTGTATAATTGAATAATACTTTGAAGTTACACATTGTGTTTTTTTTAGATATGTCTTCTTTTCAAATGACCAACGATAGTATTAATGCAACTGTATATGATATTAAGATGAAAACAATCATGTTTACTCGATATTGGTGTATAACAATGTTTATTGTTGGTTTTATTGGACATTCATTAAATCTATATGTATTTACTCGTCGTACACTTCGTTTCAATCCATGTGTTCGATATCTTATAGCATCATCTATTGCCGGTTATCTTATCATTTTTATTATTCTCCCACTACGTCTTTTACAATTTGGTTACAATATAAGTTTATTTGTTCCTTCAATAATATTATGTAAATATTTAACATTTCTCTGTTCTTGGATAAGGTATTTTAAATAAGGATATTATTATTAAATGAATTTCAATTTTATTTTATAGAATACTACCTTGTTGGTTTATAGCTCTAGCATCCGTTGATCGGTAAATAATCATAAATAAGAATTAAAATATATGAATAAAATATTCGATTTTCTTTTAAGATATTTTTTTACTTCATCATCACGTATTCTGAATAGTTGGAGTTCAATTCGTGCTTCGAATTGTTTTATTTTTTTATCAATTGTATTCGTTGGTTTAACACAAACTCCAATATTATTTTATTTTACAATTGATCCTCAAATAAGGAGATGTCTTGGTCAACCAAATTCATTTCAAAAATTCAATGGAATTCTTATTATGATTATGTGGAGTTTCATTCCATCATTAGCAATGCTTATTTTCGGTTTTTTAACTATTAATAATACACAAAAATTAGCTCAAAATATTACAGGTCAAAATATTACAAAACCAAAACGAAAACGAACAAAATTTCTTGATAGACAATTAATTCAAATAACACTTATTCAATCAATACTCTTTGGATTAACATCAGCTGCTGGTGCAATCGGTGGAATGCATAATGTTCTTAATAATAATTTACGTAAAGATCGAATAGCATTAGCTAGACAAAGTCTTATTGGAAATATTCTTTCATTTATTGGTCTTCTTAGTCCGTGTATAAGTTTTTATTTATGTACATTATCAAGTCGATTATTTCGACGTAAACTTATAAAATTATTTCATGTTCGACAACAAAATCATGTACAATCAGTTACAAATGGATTACATATGAGTTTAAGAACTAGATAACTGATTGTTTTTTTTTCAAATTTTTTTTTATTAATAAAATAAATAGATTGTATTTCAGGCTTTTATACTTGTAACTTATAAAAGGGCGGGTTATACGTTTGAAATTACATATCTACATGCTCAAGATAACCACATTTATCTTAAATCTATGAACCTAATGAAGGGATATATAGACATATTATTTTTGTATTTATTATGAAGGGTTTGTTATATTTTTCATTATATAAAATACATAACCATAGCTCTCGGAATATTTCTTGTACAAGTCAATCTCATATTGTTGTTCATCTAGTATATTTTCTTCGTTTGTATGTCCTTGATATTTTATCTTTAACTGTCGAATTTTCGCTTCCATTGGTCCATAATATTCTTGCCACCATTCTTTTTCATCTAGTACGAAACTATCAATTAATTCATAACCACATTTCTTTATGATTTCAAAATTTTCTTCTTGAGTACGCATTTCAGGATAATTTTTCATCCAAAATGCATGAGCTTCAGCTGGTGGATTTGTAGTAAGCCAAGTGATTTCAGAACAAACAAGATAGCCATCTTCTCTCAAGAATTTCTTCCATTCAGTAAGACCACGTTCAAAACCGATTATATAAATTGAACCTTCAGACCAAATCACATCGAACATATGTGGATCAACAAATTTTTCAAGACAAAACATATCGCCATGTAAGATAACTATACGATGTGAAACCTCTTGTTCTTTGGCTTGTGTTGATAATATCTCTATAAATGGTTGATGCTTATCAATTGCAGTTATACTATGTCCTAATTTTGCTAATTCGACAGTAATCATACCAGGACCGCAACCAATATCAAGTATATTTAGTCGTGTTTCATTTGAATTAATAGTTTGTAGAGCTCGAAATGTTGACTGAATACTTCCGGGACCTTGTCTTGATAAATTATTATGAATTTCAAAAAAAATCTCTTGACCAAGATCATTTGAAGGTAAAGACATTTTCACACACACGTATTAAATAAAATAAAAACAAGTATGATAAGAACTACTGCAGAGATAGAATAGAAAATATAACAGTCCTGTTTGATAAAAAGATAAGTGAAGAATCAAAAGAAAAATCATTCTTGTGAATATTCAAATGAAGATTTATCCGCATTGCTGCTTTGTCAAATCACATTCCTGATATTTTTTGTTGTTGTGTCATGAATAATTATCATAAAGCATAAACAAAAACTTAAAAAATAGATCGTATCAAATATATATATACTGAGTATTTGAAAAATTTCTTATCATTATGGATTACGACGAGGAAAATAACAGTACAATTACAGAGTATTCAATAGATCCAAAACCTATTTTATTTAGTATATTATTATTCGTTGAAATTGCATCTATTCTATGTAGTCTTATTATATTAATTTATTTTTTCTTTCATTGGAAATCAATGATAAATAAAGCATTACAAAATCATGTTATTTTTCTTCTTATTATTGTTTCACTTTTATATACAACTCTTGATTTACCATTTACACTTAATTCTCAACGTATTGGTTATGATTATCCTCAAACAGTATCATTTTGTCGTTGGTGGTATTGGATAGATTGGACACTTCTAGTTAATAGTCTTTATCTAACAGCTATTGCTAGTATACAACGACATATACTTATATTTCATAGTCATTTATTACAAATAAATCGAATACGATTAAAACTTCATTATATTCCATTAATATTTTCAGTAATTTATCCAGCTACTTTTTATCTTATAACGATTTATTTTTATCCATGTGAAATGCCAACATATGATTATGTTCAATATTGTCCATATCCATGTTATTGTGATAATCTTATTTTATATACTATAGATTATATGATTAATACGGTCTTGCCAGTTGTTGTTATTATTATAGCAAATATAATATTAGTATGTCGAGTAATTCATTCAATGAAAAAAATTCGTCGAAATCATTTTGATATTTGGAAAAGACAAAAAAAATTAACTTTACAATTACTTTCGATTTCATTATTATATATAATAGGATCGGGTCCGGTTACAGTTGTCTCTATCATACAAATGTTTTTTATGCCGAATATTTATGATGATATACCGGATATTTATTATGTTACTTTTTCAATATATTTTATTTGTACAATGCAATCATTTCTAAGTTTATTTACATTACCAGAATTATTGAATTTTATTAAAAAGAAATTGAAACAAATATTATCAAAAGAAACAGTCACACCTGTACAAACAATTCTTCCAACTCGTTAACTAT